ATGGGTTTAAACCCTTAATTAAGCAAAATATCCATAAATTCAAAGACAGTCTCCTTAAGTGACAAGTGAAAATTCAGCCTAGTGTCTATATTTCCCTTGCCTTAATATCAAGAACCCCTTATTTGTAAGCTACTACATTACAGAATCCTAGAATGACTTGGGTTGGAAGGGACCTTAAAGCTCACCCAGTGCCAAGCCCCTGCCACAGGCAGGGACACCTTGCACTAAAGCAGATTGCCCCAAGCTCTGTTCAGCCCAGTCTTGAACACTGCCAGGGATGGGGCATCCACAGCTTCTCCGGGCACACTGTGCCAGCGCCTGAGCACCCTCACAGGGAAGAGCTTCTGCCTAAGAGCTCATCTCAATCTCCCCTCTCTCAGGCCCACCTTGGCCTGTCCCTGCAGGCCCTTGCCAAAGCCCTTCTCCAGGTTTCTTGTAGCCAGTTTAGGCACTAGGAGCTGCTCTAAGGCCTCCCCCCTTAAGGAGACTTCTCCAGGCTGAACCAGCCCAACTGTCTCAGCCTGTCTTCATAGGAGAGGTGCAGCAAGATTATTAGATACTGTTTCTACTGAGATCCATATAAGACTTTCACCCTTATTTTTCCAAGAACTGAAATCTAGCATAGAATTTATCTTCAACAATATTTTATGTCAAATCTATACATCTGAACTCATCAATTCAAATTACACAATATGTATTTCAAACGTAAAAGAAAAATGATACCAACAGCCAATACCATACATGCAACCAGTATGCAGTATGCAACCAGACCTGGCATTCTTCAAAATCCATTTGCTGGATCTAGTTAGCCTCTTGAAATTTTTACTGAAAATATCCTTTCATCAGCTGCCAGCGTGAAGAAGGTATCATGTTAAACTGAAATCCAAATGCACAGTCTATCTGGAAATGGAGGGATGTTTTTGTATCTTCCCATATAATCAAGTTTTTAGGGAAATACAAATGATCCTTCATCTCTTCCTACACTGGCAGTTGGATTTTCAGCCAGCTGACCAACGACCAAATCTATATAGGCTGAGAGCAGATCAGTAGCATCTGTGAAATGAGGTGGTGGCATCGTTACAATTCTCTGTAGGCAACTGTGTCACCATCAAGAACAAACACAACCAGCCACCTTTGTTGTTAATCTCTGATTGAATGCCAAGGACTAAATAAAGATTTCTGTCCTGTCACCTTTGCAAACAGTCAGGAGAATACAGCAAAGCTCATTTCTTTATCCATGCAAAGCCTGGGCATGCAGCAATAAACAAGGATTTCAATGTCAAGGTCAGGCAAGGAAGGGCAGTTTCTCCGTGTGTTTGTGTACATGGATAGCTGAGCTCCCTGGAAAGTCAATATAGCTCAGTATTCACTTACTTTAACAGAGTATCCTTCAAATATATGATAATCCTGTATTTTTATATAGCCAGGGAGAACAGCACTTGCCTCCCAAGTCTGTATATCTGGAAGTTCAAATAGACTGCACCTTTTATCATAGAATCATAGAATAGTTAGGGTTGGAAAGGACCTTAAGATCATCTAGTTTCAATCCCCCTGCCATGGGCAGGGACACCTTACACTAAATCATATCACCCAAGGCCTTGTCCAACCTGGTCTTGAACACTGCCAGGGATGGAGCATTCACAACCTCCCTGGGCAACCCATTCCAGTGCCTCACCACCCTAACAGGAAAGAATTTCCTCCTTATATCCAACCTAAACTTCCCCTGTTTCAGTTTTAACCCATTACCCCTTGTCCTGTCACTACAGTCCCTAATGAAGAGTCCCTCCCCAGCATCCCTATAGGCCCCCTTCAGATACTGGAAGGCTGCTATGAGGTCTCCACACAGCCTGCTCTTCTCCAGGCTGAACAGCTCCAACTTCCTCAGCCTGTCTTCACATGGGAGGTGCTCCAGTCCCCTGATCATCCTCATGGCCTCCTCTGGACTTGTTCCAACAGTTCCATGTCCTTTTTATGCTGAGGACACCAGAGCTGCACACAATATTCCTTACAGACTGATCCTGCTAAACACCTTCAGTAATATTACAACACAGGAAATGAAGTTACATTCCATGAAAAAGTCAAACTCTGACAAATAACATTTTGCAGGGCCATTCTCTAGTTAATATTTTAGTTTAGAATTTAGGCAAACATCATGTAGCAAGAGATGCTTAAACACCGGCACCAGCCATTTGATAAATGCCAGAATTTACTTAAGATGCAGTAGAAGTCTGTAGTAACTCTGAACGCTTTCAAATTCTAAAGATCTTAAATATCTCTAAATAGACTGGGAGCCTGAGCAATTAACTGCCCATTCTGTGTTGACCTTGAAACCAAAATGCCCAAACACATGCTACATGGCAAAGTAGCATATGGATAGAGATGAAAGCCAAAGCATATATAAAAGAGATGACATTTGTTCACACCACTCCTATCTTAAAATCCAGATTATCCAAAACTATCATTAGGATCCTATAAAGGCACTTTTATTACAGCTGAGAAAGCCTGGATAAACACTAAGTCACGTGGAGAAAGAAGGTGCTTTTCAATGGGTAGAACTTCATGTACTGGTATAGGGAAGAAGCTACGCTCAGCTTTTATAGTGGAGTCTGCACATGGAGACCTCACATATTTTAGGCATGGCAATGCAGGCATTAGTGAGAAATATTTCCTCACATGTGCAAATAAAACCTGGTCATTAGAATTATGATATAACTAAATTATTTGACAGTTCAGCATGGTTTTGCCTTTAGCTGTTGCTTGGGGGTTTTATTACAAACAACTGAAATGCCACAATACACACACATACCTTTTCCTGGCATCATAACCTATGAGGAAGCCTTGAGAAACCACAGTCCCAAATGCATTCTGAGCTCCACCCCAAAACCCACAAAATAAAAATCATTAGGCTTTTAACGACACATTTTAGTTTTCTTTATCTAACTGAAGATTTATGTTCTCATGATTTCTTGCCAACCACATGAGCTGGAAACATGTTTCCAATAAAGTAAGATAAGATTTTCACATCACAGAACTCCAGGTAAAAAACAGGACAGAAAGACACTTGCATGAGTTTCCCAGCATAATCCCATGCTGTTATATACAATCATGAATAAACTTCATGAAAAGACAAAAATGCTCTAAGAAAGAAAGAAAACAAACAACAAAAGACACCAAACACAATCCTACAACTCCAAGAGGTAGCAAAGTTGGAGTATATTTGTTTGAAAAGTTTTATCTGGGAGAGTAAAACCTATTTCAAAATTGAAACAGGTTTTCACTCAGTCTTATCTTACTCCTTAGCTTACTCAGTCACTAAGATATGTTATACTAACACAGAGCCCTAACTACCATTTCTGGAGTAAACTTCTGTAACTCCACGAAAAGAACTTTGAAAGTCCATAGGTTTTCAAAACAAACAGCTTTCAAAACAAAACACCTTTATCCAGCAGGTATTTTTTCATGTTCCACTGCTGACAGCAATACCACTTATCCACAAATATCAGAGGGATGAAAAAACAGAAACCTCATTTTAGTCTATGGGAACACTGTAATTCAGTAGGAGGTTAAATAAGAGTAAGATTTTTTTTATGAAACACCAGTGTCTGAAACAATCCATTTGATCACATAAATTGGGAGAGGAAAGGCAGTATGTTCACTTACTCAAAACTGCTTTGAGGGTAAATTCCTATATCTGCGCCTCCAGTACCAACCTCTTCTCCGAGTCTGCAAACCTCTGTGCCAATTCATGGTGATTTTCTGGGCCAGGGCAATTGCCCACAATTATTAACTGTACTGAGACCAACTCACTCATTTGACAGGGAGAGGGAAAAATTTACTGTAGAAGTGTCACAATCACAAAGCACTAAACAGGTCCACCTCAGGTAAGCAACAACACTACCATCAAATTTGGTGCTTTTAAACAACTCACTTGGGTCCTCTGTAAGCTGACAGCCAGCATGGACTTTTGCCCAATCCTGCTGGTGATTTACAGATGAAAAGCTCTGTCTACCATTCCCACTTCCATGAGTCTTCCAGCGCTTAGGAGCCAAGATTAAGGATGAAAATGTCTTCAAAGATGCACCTACCAACACTTGAAATTTGAACTCTATCTAAACCTACTGTAAATTGCTTGAAACAGTTACTGAGTTTATGCACTGGGTTACACACTACTGAATTGCTGACTGCTGCTTGTAAACTACCCGTTGTAATCATCACACACAGTAGTTACAGGGAAAAGAAATAATCTATTAATTACCTAATCTGAGTTGTTCCTTTGACTTAATATTTTCTAAACTGCTTTTTAAAACAGCTAGATAAGCTGCTCGGCAGTTCATGTAAAAGGTGGCTTCTTCTTCATGCTGAGACTTCTTTGCTTGCAGACTTCCTGGGTGCATGACTTTCTCACTGGAGAGAGAAGTGTCATCCTCAGGACTGCTGGCCATTCTGTGAAGGATACAATTACAGTTACAAATTGTTACTGCCCTTCCTGTTTAAGAACACATCTGCTTTGTCCTCTGAAACACAGACTAGCAAAACCTATCCTAACATCAAGGTCATGTTTTTAATTCTCATTTGATATCACAATGATTATGCAGTCACGTCATTTGAAAGCATAAAAACAAACTTTCAAGTTATCTCTGATAGAAATTGCTGTCCATGTTTAGAAATGAACCACTAGGACTTGTCCTTCCTACACACTTTCACCAGAATTTCTATTCTTGCCACATAAGCTAAATTCTCATAATGACAGAAAGAATGGGATAATTTGTACAGAAGCACACTTGTTGGCTCTGAGGACTTTACTACCACTGTCTGTAGTCTGCATGATCTGTCACAATGCTGACATTAATGGACATAATATTATTACAGTATGTTCATATTAATAAATGAATATACCATACCTACCGCTGTTTTGCTCTCGGTGCCACTCTCACTGTTGTTAGAGCTCACCAGCAGTAGAAAGGTTGGAGTGGTTTTGGGGGAAAAAAGTAAATTTAAACATGGCCACAGGTGTGAGAGGCACAGAATTATCTAAAAGATTTTTTCACCAAACAGCAACAACAGTAAATACTACCAAGAATGGATGCAGTGCTCATCTCATTGGAGACAGCTCTGTGGCTGCATGAGTGCAACTCACTTATGTTGGATTCTCTGTTATATTTCTTGGTGTTAACAGCAGAGTAAAAGCCTCCTTTGTCCTCCAGTGGAAACCACATGTGACCATGTTTATGTTGAACTGCGTATTTGTCAGGATTTTCACCCTCACTCAAAAGCTAACTTTCATATTTCCAAGACTGATACAGCTGGAAAACCAGGTAGCTTTACACAGCTTCATCAGACACACTGTTGATGTCATAAACGCCATATAATATCCAGTGTTAAAGAAGTGATATAGTTATTAAATTGATTACATGTTTTTTATGGTGCCAACCCACAGTAGACTGAGCTTTTGTTTGCTGATTTTAGTTGTAACTCAATAAAACATATAGCTAATAGTAAAATTGGTCAAAATTATAACCCTTAATCCTTCAAGTATGTGAAGTAAAGCACACTATTCTACTTTTAATAGTTATCTGAATATAACGTGCATAAAACTGTGCCACTCAGGCCTTTAAAGTACAAGAACACTACCCATATAATTGTAAATACATGGTAAAAAGTATAAAATGTGTTTTTTCTACAATATTACAGCCACTCAAAACAGTAACTAATACTGTTTGCTCACCAATGGCCAGTAAACTCTAACAGCAGCTCTCTGCTTTTACCAAGGGTGATTAAGGTTTTTAGAAGGCCATCACAGAGGGCCACTAAATCCTGTTGGTCTAACAGCCTCTCCTATTATTTTATCCAATGTTGACTTCAGAAAATATATTCCAGCATAATAAATTAAATATCTCAAGTTCAGCAACAAGACGACGACATCGTAGGGTCCCCTTCAGGACTCATTGGATTTTTACTCAGAAGGCCTAAATCACTTGCACCTTGTTGAGTTATATAGGTCTTTTACACTTGGGAAAGAAAGATAATAATTGCTTATCATGGCTGAAGTACCCTATTTATAATACACAGACCGCCTGTCTGACACTTTAATATTACACTGGCATTAAAAGGACCCCATAGGGACACTGTGATAGAGTCTGGTTACTGCAGACGGGTGTCACTATAATTAAGCACCAGCATTACACACACAAAATGGAAGAGGGTTAAAGTCGAGGAGGAAAAGAAGAATAAATGTTAATTTTCCAGCAACTAGTTTATAAAATGTGAACTCTCCTTTATACTCCTCCAACTTCCCACTACCGAGATATTTCTTACGTGGGCCACAATTCTGACAAGAAGTGCTGCCAATGCACTGCTCAGAAATCCAGCGAGCAGTAGCTTAGCGCCAGCTCTGCCAGCAGCCCCATGGTACGTTTTTCCTGCACAAACGACGCTTCAGACAAAACAGATGGAGGGGAACGATCCAGCCTTGGCCTGAAGTAGGAAGACAACACTACCTATTACATTCAGTTTTAGTTGCTACCATTCTAATGAAAACGATGTTCTAACTACGAATTAAGCCATACCCATCACCGCCACACGGACCTTTCCCACCACGGTCCCAGACCTCCATCCGCAGCAAACACACACCAGCTGCGAGCTTCCCACTGCCGCTTCCAACCTTCCGAGCGCAAGCGCCGAGGCCTCACCTGAAACACGCAAACTTTTACCACACAAATCTCGTCATCTCCTTCTCCAGCGGGGGCAAGGGTTTTCTCGGGTTACATTTACCACTCAAAAGACACAGAAGTCATTACAACCCCTTTCCCCCAGCCTCTCATATAGGAACCATCCCGCCCTCCGGTCCCCCTCCATCCTGCCCTGAGGGGACGCGTTGGCCGCCCCTCACCTCCCGCCCAAGCTGCGCTCGCACCAACCTTCCCGAGGGGAGGAAGCCACCACCGGCCTGGCTCCTACCGCTGCACAGCACCGGGGCGGCGGGGCCCGAGGAGCCACCCCTCCGCCCCGCGGGCCTGCTCGGCTCGGCTCCCGCCCCGCCCCTCAGCGCCGTTTCCAGCCGGAGGCCTTTGGCCGGTGCACGGCGGCAGCGGCGGGAGATCCGCAACGGCGGCGGGAGCGGCTCCAGGCGAGGCGATGTCGTAGGTACCGGGGCGGGCGGCGGGGCTGAGGAGCTGGGCTCTGGGAGCCCCTTTCCCCCCTCCGCAGCGGGAGGTTTTGGACTGGAGAGGGGCGGGAGATGGAGCCGGGGCCCGTGTGGGACGCTGAGGGGGGAGCGCTCCTCCTTGGCGACCCGCGGGCTCCTGCTCCGGCAGCGAGCTCGTTCCCTGAGGAGAAGCGCGCTCCCCCGGCTGTCCGGAGAGGGGAGGAGCGCTGCGCTCTGTGGGAAGGGCGGGTTTTATTCCCAGCCTCGTCTCCCGGGCGTTGGGTTTGACCGGGAAGCGGCTAAGATGGTGTCTCCCTGGGGCAGAGCCCTTGTCCAGGCGGAGTCCCCGGGGACGATGCCTGCTGGTATGGGGGGAAGTATAAGTTACGTGACCGTGCCCGGCTTCCCCAGCCCAGGGAGGGAGGGGGGTGGTGGTTTATCGCTGCGCTCCCCATGGATAAACGTGTCTCTTCATCAGGGATTGTAGCAATAGGAGAAAGGGTGATAGGTTAAAACTTGAACGGAGGAAGTTTAGGTTAGATGTAAGGAAAAGTTCTTCCCTGTGAGGGTGCTGAGGCGCTGGCACAGGGTGCCCAGAGAAGCTGTGGCTGCCCCATCCCTGGCAGTGTTCAAGGCCAGGTTGGACACAGGGGCTTGGAGCAAGCTGCTCTAGTGGAAGGTGTCCCTGCCTGTGACAGGGGTTGGAGCTGGAGGAGCTTTAAGGTCCCTTCCAACCCAAACCAGGCTGGGATTCCGTGATTCAAAGTCTGGTGCTGTTCTTGTGTATCTTTGCTAATCGTGGGCTTCTGAAGAGCAATAATGCGTAGGATGTTGCTAACTTTAACAGCTGTTAAGGTGAGGCCATGAGGCTCATGCTACCTATATACAGGCTTGGGATAGTATCTCAGTTTACAGCTCCTTACACAACTTCAAAGATAACTTATGTTAGAGCTAACATAGGTTCCAACATCTGCCATTCTTGACCACTTGAAGTAATCATGCCAGACAGTAGTAATACAAAGAAAACACCAATACACAAACTTTGATATCGTTTTGGTGTTTAAGTCCCTGATTGCACACTGAGTTTAACTGCCATTTAAACCGAACATAGAAAATGATTCAAGGTGATTTCTTCTGCTTTTCGTATTAATAAGACATTTTTGCTGGCAGGTTTTGAAGATGAAGCAAATATCATGAATATGTAAATAGCTTAGAGGTACTTTCTTTTTTCCCCAGTAAAAGCAGAACGTTAAGTGGAAGCTAACTGAAATGGCCTCAAAATGCACTACAGTACTCCCTAGGGTATGTTTAATGAAATAATATGATCAGGTCCCTGATTCTCTATGTTCTTTTTTGTGTATTCAATCTGTATGTGGCTGTTGCCATTGCATTTATTCATAAATGAATTGTGGAGAGAACGTTAAGTGTATGTGGAATTAAAAACAATATAAATAATTTATCTCTTTATGGAAAGTTAAATTGCATACCTAAGACTCTCACTGTTAAACAGTTCCTCATCTAAGTGGTTTCATCAAAGCATTGTTCAAATGACTGAAGGTATTAGCAGGACTGACAATATGACCTGGAATGATTGATGAACAATATGCTGTAGAAGTCATATGTAGTTCTTTAAGCTGATAAATCCTATGAACAAAATAATCATTGCAGGATGAACATTAGCCATAAACATGTGCCATCGTGCTCTGCCTAGTTAAGTTGTCAGGCCAACAATTCAAAGGCAGAAGGAAAACTCAGGTAAATAAGTGTGCTGTCATTACACACGCCTCATTTTTCTATCTCCTTTTCTCATTCACATTCTAACATTTGATTCTACACCATAGCCAAAGGAAGGCTTTTATAGAATCGCAGTGTAGTTTGGTTTGGAAGGGACCTTTTCCAGCCATATAAAAAAGATAAACCAAACCAAAGTTGGTGCTCTTTCTCCATAGTGCTTCCTAAAATACTTCAGGATTTTGTTTGCACCTAGATGCATGTATGGGGTTTTCTCCATGTTCATCTTTGGAACAACCTGAAAGAAGACGCTTTGGCCAGCTGCGTCTTCATGTTCGATGTCTGGATGAATTTTGTTTCAGTTGTCCTAGCCACACATTTTAACTTAATATGAGTGAATCACAGTTGCCCAGAGATTTACCTTCTCACATTATGACATCAGAAAGACAATCACTAAAAACAAGCAAACCAAGCTGCTGGGTAGGGTGGATTGGGAAAAGCAAAGCAAAGTTGAACTCCTGAAACCAAAATTGTTATCTCCCTATACGATATGCCAGCTCCTTCCAACATTGAAGTGCTTGCCTGGAATGAGGCTGCCTGTTCGCTCAAGGTGTTTGCATGGGTTTTACAGACCAGCAAAAAGAAATCTGGGCTGTCTGCATCTCTACAATATTTGACAGACTTTAAAGAACATAGCCTTGACCAGTTCACAACTTTCACCATAGAAATTTTCTAAATGTTTATAATTTACTGGGATTTTCATGTCATTTCTCATTTATCTTCATCCTACAGCTATGTCGAGTCCAGATTCTGCTTTGCTTTGGCTTCCAGCTTCTTTTGAAGTCCATCATAAAAACTTCCATCATGACATGCCTTAGTATAACATGCAAATGCATTGGCCCCTAGAGCATCCTTTCAGAGTAGATGTATTAATAAATATAATGTTTCTCTGCTGCCACCGGGGTGAAAGATGGAATGGAGTCTGCATTCCTTAAGCAATATGGGCTTTTATTAAAAAAAGAAATACATTGTAAAGAATTCCATCAAACTGTTACAGCTTTGACTGCCCTTTGGCAAGAATTTCACTCGCTTTTTTAATTTAAATGTTACCTGTTTACTTGGCTTTTTTAAGATAGAATACTTCTGTTCCCCTTCTTGTAATAGAGATAGTTGTAAAACATATTCATATCACACTGTTATCAGAGATGAATTTCAAAGATGTGTTTTCATTCTATTTTTCCAATCCTTTAATTTGCAGTTTTGGAATAGTAACATAAATTTTAAAAGGATATGTTTGGAATAAGGTCATCTTCAAAGTCAAAACATTCTTTTCCAAGATGAGAGCAGAGCTAAGTCCCTGAAATATGATGCATTTTCCAAATCTTGTTTGATATAATAAATATAATTGTATATAATAAATATGTTTCTTGGGGATTGTTCTTAAAAAGATTTTTAATTCCCCCCCCTTGTTTTATATCATGCTTTAAACTATTGTTAAGATTTAGGAGTGTGCTTAAAAAGTTCCAGTTGTCTCTGGGAAAAATAGTCTTAATTTATGTTGACCTTTCTTTCCTTGGAGCATTTAGTCTGCATTCAATAAAATTTTGATGACTGCTCTTTAGAAGACAGCTGTACGATATAAAGTATTATAAATATTCAGCTTTCCTCTTCTAGTGTTGCCATTAACAGCTGGGCATCCAGTTCAGCAGAGCAGATTTTGCAGAGAGCTTGGCATGTTCCTGAATCAGTATAGTGAGGAAGACTAGCAGATAGTTTCGTATGGTTTGGGGACCTGTAAAGACATAGAGCATCTGTTCCCCAGTTAAGTCATAGTCTGGTAGCACTGAATCATGTTAAGAGCTAAAATGATGGGAAGAACTACTTTTTTCACCTTGGTTGTACCTGTGTTTTAAATGCCTAATACGTTATTTCTACTAATGGCAAAATAATTTCAACCCTTCTTCAGAAGGTATGTAAATAATAATGCTTTTGCATTCTTTTCTTGTGTTTAGCCTTGAAAAAGAGACAAATATACAGTGTGATTTCACTTCACTGTCTTGATTTTTATCTCTAGTATAAAATGGAGAAGTGGATTTTCTTATGCAAACATTTTATCCTTATAAACAAGCAATGTTTTTGGTACACGGTATTTTAATCAGTCAAATTATTTTCTTTGGATGACGTTAGTTTTCTTGCATAGTATTAAAAAAATGTGAAACACAAGAAAGAAAAATGTCGATAAAATTACCAGTTATAGACCTTACTAAGAGAAATCTTTGTGTCTAGATGACCATAAAACTTGTCTGTATTTTTCTCTTGCAGAGCTAAGAGAGCGTTAAAGCTGGACAGTATTAAAAAAGATATTGTAAGTATTTTTTGGTGTGTGGAATCATCTCGTCTGTATATATGTGTATATACATATATTTATATCCACACGTGTGGATAGACATGGTATTTTGTTAGAGCTTCATTTCTATTGTTACAGATTGGATGTTGTCTAGGAAAATCTTAACAAGGCACAAAACTACTGCTGAAAATATTAGTATAAAATTTATTATATTCCATTTGTCATGGAACTGCCTGGCATTAAGTAATGCACATCTGCATGAATCACTGGAAAATAATGGAGAAAGATGCATCTTTATATTGCCATCACTCTTTACCCAAGAGCTGAACGAGTTAAGATCCTTGGTGAAATCATTTATTAGAAATTAGCTCCATTATCCTGGAAGCAAATGTTCTGCCATGTAATTGTACGTGGAACAATATGGAATTATGATCATGCTGTAATCTGCATATTATAAACTGCAAAATTGAAACGAAAACATTAAAGGCATTTTCATGTCAAGGATATAATTACCTCCCTCAGCTAATCTGGCAGAATGAAACACTAAAGTACCAACACTGCAATAAATTTCACCACAGTTATCACAATAAAAATAAAATTGTACTGTTGCTATTATTTTCTGTAAATGCAGCTATAGTATACTCCGAGTACCAGCATGTCATGACATATGTCAGTTTATTATCTGCTCCTACCAACAGTGGGTGTTGCTGCAGGCATCAATCCAGAGGAGCTGGTGAGGATGGCAGTGTTTAAAGGAAGGAAAATTTTGGAGAAGTAAATAGAAATAGCTGGTCAGCAAATGAGCTCCCAGTAAATCGCTCTGTCATTTTGCAGAGATTTGCTTATATGCAGCACATATTTGGAGCTCTCACTGGTATTTAGTAAGACAGAAATTTGCCATTTTGAAAATTTTCTAGATACTTTTTCTTTTGAATTTAAACAAAGGTGGCAAAATACTGCAGTGGCACTAAAAAAAATCATTAGCAATTTAATTAGCAGCTTAGTGTACCATTACCCAACTTGTTCTGCTCAGAATGCAGCTGTGACTGTAATTTTGCATCTGTTTCTTGGGCTTTAGTAATGTTTTTGTAGATGAGTGGTCCAGCTGAAATTACATAAGAGTTCTTCTCCTTCCCTAAAGCTATTCCTTCTCTGCTCCCTCCCCATAAGATAGTTACTTGATGGTTACTTGCATTCAGATTCTTGTGCTGCAAAAAGTCCATCTGAATGATAAAAACTTCTACTGGAATCTCAGTAATGTAGGTTTATGTTATGATTTTTAGTTCATATGATGCCTCTAATGGGTACATGGCAACGATTTAAAGTGTACCTGCTGGACAGTAGGGGCTTTAAGTCACCTTTGTATCTGTAGCTTTCTGATCTGATCTGGCTGACATCCTGACATGGTTTGTGGCTTTCACACGTGTTACCTGGTAAACCTGTTTTTTGACCTTAGAAGTACTGCAGAGCCCTTTTGAGATCTAAAACTGCTGTAGTTAAAGTTTCCAGGAGTTATTTGTGAGACCTTAAACCTATGAGGTTTAGGCCTTCTCAGAGTTGTCTTTCCATGCTGTCCCATGCTCCCAGCTCAGCTGCCTATGCCCTCAATTATGTCTCCAACCATCCTTTTTTCCAGAGCATGCAGGAGATTCCTGTGCTGAGGAATCCTTACTGGATTCAAAGATTTGTGTGTCCATTGTTTCATCTGGTTTAAAAAGGGGCAGTGTGAGGGTCTTATTCCAGCAAAACAGGGCAACATATGATTAAGTATGAATAAATGAGTTACTAATTTGAAATTGGAGTGGATAGGTCGGTTCCCAGAGTGCAAATATAAGGTTGACTGATATCCCCCCCCAACCTTGGCTTAAGTACTGTGTATTCTTTAATGAATATAAATCCCAGATACTCACCTTCTATTTCATTCATGGTGTTGAAACAGAGTAATATGCTTACCTATTATACTTTCTAACATTAATAAATGGAATAATAAATGGAACTTAAAGAGATTATAGAATAATCATGTACAATAAAGCTTTGATTGAAGAAATACTGTAGGAAATTGAAGGACTGTTATGAGTGACATGAAGACAAATGATAGATACTCAGTTTTACAGATGCAGTGAGGCTCAAGTTGGTAGAAAAGGGTGGTTATTTGAGAAGTGAGTTAGTCAATTTTTTGCTTACTACATAGAGATAAATTAATTTGCTCCTCTAACTCAAAGCCTCAGGAGTGTAACAATGAAGAAATCACTTATTCCATTTTAATGTGAGATTTGTTTTGATTATACTATGTTTCCAAGGGAAAATAACATACTAACCAGTATAAAAAAATGTCTATTGCAGTGCATTGGACAGCCCATCTTTAAGCCCATGAAAGAATTCTGAAAGGGACTGGAAAAAATGATGCTGCCCAAAATGTCCCTTTATTCTTTGTAAACTGATGCTAATACAGTGCAAGGGGTTTGGACTAGATGGCTTTTGAATGTCTGATCCAGACCATTCTATGATTCTATGAAATCAGTTGTTCACTACTTGGATTCTTCTCTACAGAGGTGGCTAGTCTTGTTTGGAAGCAGTAGTTTACATGCCTGCAGATTTTATCTCCTTGAAACGAAAGGTGGGCAGGACTAGAAAGCTGTCATTCTGCAGCTTGCTACATGGAGTACCTGCCAGCACTTTTGTTGAATAGTTGGATCAGCAGGTCATCGAAGTGGGTCTGGTAGTATGCACATTGGTTGTTACACCAAAGCCCAGAAAATCCTGTGGCCACTTATCAGTGGTTTCTAAGAGTGTAACATGACATTAAGATGCTGCTGGTGCTATTGGAGCCTCCTCTAAGTCCTATATGTGTTCTGTTACTGCATATGTCTCATTTGTGACAGTCGTTGATGGTGTTATTTAAAACCGCTAGACTTAGTTGGAAGCAAGTTGTTACTAGAGCTAAAGCCCTTTATATGCAAACCAAGTGTGGATTTGTTTTTTTCCTCTGTATATTAGTTTTGCAGTAAAATCCTAGTTTCTCAGAGTTGCAATTCAGCATTAGAAATAACCATGGTTTTATAGAACTAAAATAGTATTAAATAGACAGAATGAGAACTACTTGTTTATAGTTCATGTGTCTTAAACTCTCGGTACTGTAGGAGAAATAATACCAGGGTTTAACTGCTTAAAAAAAGCCCAAACAATCAAATGTTCATGCCAGAGTAACTAAATATCTGGAAACCACATACCTTTTGTATATGAGAATTGGTAGGTTAGTATTTGAAGGGGTTTTTATTTGAGTAAAACTAATGTTACTGAGGATGGGGAGTGATATAGCAGCTCAGTGGGCACTTGGCAGCCAGCAAATATCAACCCACCACAACCTAGAACATGGACTTTCCATAAAAGGGAGGACATAAAGTTGGGAATTACTAAGGAAAATCTATTAGCAGATAGTAAGTGTTCAGAGAGGCTTTGTCTAGTTTGGGGGCGAATATGTAACTACTGATAGGAAGGGTAGAGGTGACAATGTGTTTATTTTGCAGAAGGGAAGTTTGCAATGGTTGTAGGTTTAGATGGACATAGGTACTTATTTGTCTTTAGCCAAAATTCATCTGGATTCTTTGTCTTTTGCTATGATTTAGCGACATGATGCAACACCTTTGGAGACCAAATTGAAAAATCTAAATGCTTACTCACCAACAACAGGAACACGTGAAATGAGCCCATTCTCATCTCCTATGAGTCATGATGCACAAACTATCAAGAAGCACCTATCAAATGGTTAGTTTAACATTTTGTCTTTCTTAATGCAACATTTTCCTTGTTATTGACTTGATTTAGTAACTTATGTGGTATGTTTGAATTCCTTTTCCTCTTAAAGAATTTTGATGTCTTCTGGAAAAGCTGATGCTGGTTTTTAAAGCTTGAATCTTTCCAGTGTAAATCTTGGGGGTGTTTATGAAACAACTTGGTTATGCAACAAGTTCTGCTTTCTGTTGATCAGTATTGAAATTGCTGCCTCAGCAACAAAAAAAAAAAAAAAAAACAAACCCAAACACCTGCATTGCATTTTTCTCAAGAATTACAGTAATTCCACCGGTTGGGTATGTTCATCCTAACAACGTCATTTGTTTGCTTTCTTTCTAAGTCACAGCTGTCACTGGTGCATGCTACTGACAGTGACTGTTCTTCGGATTATATGGGAGATGCTCTGAGGTTGCTAGGTGCAAAATTACTGCAAGGAAGTCATAGAATCCCAGACTGGTTTGGGTTGGAAGGGATCTTAAAGCTCATCCAGTTCCAACCCCCTGCCATGGGCAGGGACACCTTCCACTAGAGCAGGTTGCTCCAAGCCCCATCCAACCTGGCCTTGAACACTTAGTTCTGGTTGAATGCAAAGTCCTGGTTCACTCTAGCGAGGCAGTGTAATTCATTGTTTGTAGCACACAGGTGAGGTCTGGACACTCTCATGCTCAGGAGAGCTGAAAAGAAAAGATGTTTGCAGCTGGTGCATGTTTACTCTTTTGAGAACTACGTTGAGATTTGCAGTGCAAGTCCTGGTCTATGTACTTCCAGGTTTCTGGTGGTAAATTCTTGCATGGATGCGTGCATACATGCATACAAGATTTCTCAGCTCTGAGTTTCTGTTTATGAATATTGAAAGTTATGTAGATTTTATCAAATCAAAGCTAGAAGGGAAGTTCAGTTTAACTCTTCCACTTTGCATTCATTTATGTAATTTTTTACACTTGATTTTCATAGTGAGGATAACACTGAATGTCATTAGCTCTCAGAAAATTTCCAGTTGACTTCAGGATATATGTCCACTTACTAACACAATCACAGGTTTTGATGCAAACTATGACTGCTTAAGAAGTATATTTTCTTAGACTAACCTGCCTTTATAGCTATATAGACTGTGTTCTTTTTAAGTGTTAATGAACCATTAGGTCACCTGATGTGACTTTTTAATATGAAATAAAATAACAAAGAGACTTTTTTTGTCATCTTTCTCTTACAGAGCCTAAGAGCTTTTATTTCTTGCAATACAACTCCTGGAAAGATGCTGAAATCTTGATTTGAGGACTTCAAATTATTTAAATACTATAATTTAAATAATTATCATTTTAATAATAATAATAGTAATATCTGTCACTTCCCTTTTTTAGCAAGTTCCTTGTTCAATTACCTTTGCTATTAAAGGAACAAAATTCTCCTGTCTGATTTTGAATGTGCCTGGCTTTAATTTTGAGCCATCACTTCTTGTTATGCCTTTTTGTTGGGTTAAAGAGCTTTTTATGCCCCATATATTTTGGAATTTATGTGCAGTAATTGAGGCCTCACTAACATTTGTGAATTATGATGAGCAGAAATATTCTGAGCAGGATAGAATAACCACCGTTTGAAATTTATCTAGAAGTCTGCAGATTTTTGCACTGGTTCTCACACCGTATGCTCTTACGATGGAGCTGAAAAAGTGGGGTTTTCCTCCAGGAAAAAAAGGGAGTTTTATTTTTTTAAAGGAATGTGATCAGGAAATTTTTGTCAGAGGTGGCTGGCCAAAAAATGGAAATTACTGGAAGCCTTCAAGCTGAAAATAGTACAATTTGTGAGCATTACCTCCCTTTTCCTTATTAAATTAGCAGAGTACTTGAGGAAGCATGGAAGCATGGGGTGTTTTGGTGGCAGTATAGCTCTGCATAGTTATAGTGCAGAGGGTTGGTTTTGGTTTTTACTTTTCCTAAGTCATAGTCATTCTAGGAAACTAAACAGAAGCAGCTATATCCTAATTCTTTAATGTGCTGTCAGTCTTCATTATGACCTGGCTTTATGTCCTTATTACCTGTCTGTCAAACAGCTTTAACACAGTTGAGCACTTGCTGCCAGTCAGAACGTTCACAACTCTCCTACTAAGTTCTCTGCTGATTCCAGTTCTTCCCAGAGTAGCTCTTCTCCTCCACCAGTGCTGTTTTTGATTTGGGCACCTGGACCTAATACAAAAATGACTCTGTCGACCATTGACATTCCAAGAAGCCTTTGGAGGAACAATTACCCTAATTTCTACCTATTCTTTCAGTGAGTGATGGCATGTCTCAATTACTTGTGCAAACCTGGTACATAGAATCAATCATAGAATAGTTAGGGTTGGAAAGGACCTTAAGAACATCTAGTTCCAACTCCCTTGTATTGAAAGGAACATCTTTGCCTTTACAAATTTTAACATATATGTGGTTGGTGTGTGTTTAATTTTGTGGCCTTCTGAGAGCTATGTTGACATGTGCAATGAAAGGCTTGGTTTATTCCTGGGTTGGGATGGAAGAAAGTCTCTTGTCTGCCAGAAAGCGCCTTTGCCACAGTGCCCACCCTGTCTTGTGAACAATTTCTCTTCTCAAAACTAATGGCTCCTTGATTCCTAAAAAGATGTTTATTTTGGGTATCTCCACATTCCCACTTATTTTAGATCCAGAAATCTTTAGTGACATTTAATCAGCCCTTCAAACTATTGACCCCCGTATTCTTAAAAGACCATAAGCAGTTTCTCTTTAGGGTTATTTTTCTCTTCAACAAAGTTGCTTAAAGCACTGTGTATTTCCACAGATATCCCTAGTTATGTGTTGAATTTTCTCCTTGGAGCTTAAACCAAGTTAGGTAGCAGTCTAACCCCACTGTTTTCCAACTTTCTTCTAGCTATGAAAAGTAACTCTTCTGGTGAGCAGCATTCTGACTTAGTTTCTTGGGAACTTATGTCTTTGATGTGTAAATTTATCTACCCTACCTTTCTATAGAGAGAAAGGTATTTTCAAAGTATCCCCAGGACAGATTTCTAAGGCAGTGGTGTCTGCTTTCATCAGTAAGAAGGAAATACTGTGTTTGTATGTATTAACTCCTTTAGCAGTCTCAGGATTTGATGGTGCTTCCTGGATGGAATGAAGAGCCTATGTCTTTTTTTTCCCTTCCTCTTGGTAAATATGAATCTCTTCATCCTATACAACAAAACCTTTCCATGAGAAAGGTTGTCAGTAGGTGTTCTCCATCACATCAGAGAGATGGCTGTTCTTAGTGCAATCAGTGCCTGTCGTGGCATCTGTCATGTCCTGGAAAGGTCAGCTCATACCATGGTCCAATTAATTGTTTTGTCATGATGTGGCATCCTGTGTTCTCACCCCAAATGGAGCAATAAGTATTCAGAATCAAGCAAAGTGACTGCATGTCACACCTAGCTGCTGCTTCTGGCTGAATCAACATCACCTGTATCCTGAGGGAAGAATCAGATTGGAACAATCTATGTCCCCACTGACTCCAGTGTGAGGCACTGGCAGCAGTAAGCTTGCTCTTAGCGTTGGCACATCACAAAAGCAGCTCTGAAGAAAACCCATGTATAAATACAGATTTCCATGTTATGGATGTCTGCAGAATATGAAACTATACCTTAACCTGGCTGGAAATCCACCTGCACTTAAACACTTTGAAAAAGGCTTTTAAAATTGTATATCATGATAGCAGTCAGATACAAAATTAAAAATGCTGTGGCTCTTTAGAGATGTTCTCTTGAATATCCCTCCATGTTTGTAATTCCCTGCTTTAACAACCTCTTTTCCTTTCGTTTTAGTCGATGCCTTTTTGGTGACACAACACATGATAATACACAAACATTTAAATCTACTACAAGTAGTAAAACTTCTTCAGCATCTCTGCATTTACATTAAATGCCTTATCTCTGAGGTGGAAAAAAAAAAAAAGAAGGAAAAATGTCTTGTACTAAAATGCCTGTATATTAGGATGTCAATGCGAAAGGTGAACCTGTACTGGATTTCCATAGTGATATTAGGTATGGACATAGGGGAGCATTCTTTTTGCCTATAAAAAGTCTGAGCACATGCTCATAGCTGACATTCAGATGGATAATTATTCAGTAATGTAGTACCAGACATCTTTTTTTCCTTGTGTTCATATAGCTACAAGGTGATGGTGCATGAGACTTCCTCTTGTATCACAGGTTTCAGGCTGGCCTTGTAAACCCACAATTTCTTTCCTCCTTCTGAAAAGACACTTTTAAGTGTCATAGATTACACATATCATCTGTGAGGCCTTGAGTGTGATCTATATCCTATTTTTCCATTATTAATATGTAAGAAACAACAGAATGAAAATCATTGCAAATTAATGCCATTAGCTATGAAAATGTATTTTGCATTGTGTGAAGTACAAAAAGTAGCATGAATCTATCTCACTGAGAGGACAGACAGATGGGAATTACTCGTCTAATGAATATGGCTTTCTTTTGAATACCAGTGTGGAGGAGTGCCTTAAAAAAGACTAAATACCTACAGAATGCCAAGATTGTTCAAAAGTAACATTTATGTTAGGAGAAGACATGAACCAACCCAATTATAAGATAGTGGGGTTTTATGATGTTGTCCTATGTATGTCCTGTAGGGCTGCCTGATAATTCATATATTGCCCAACTACCCAAAATCTCACAACCCATTTATGACGTAAAATTCTAAAATAAGAGAATATTGAATCATCATTGGTTTCTCATCATTATTGGTTGATATATTTTTAAGATTTATTTTAAAACAATCTATTTTTAATCAAATCAAACCAGTGTTCCACTATTCCATAGCATTTGTCTGAAAGTAGTATCTGTTTGATAACTGATGACTGATTTAAGTGCAAGTTCTATGAGTACTTAGAGTTAAAATGAAATCTTTTAGGGTCTTAACCTTTAGCTACTGTAGTGGAACAGCTTAAAGTTTCATAGCAGCTTGTCGTTCTGAGGTCTTTGTAAATGTTTTACAAAATATTAAAATTAGAAGTTAATTTATCCTTTAGTGCTGATACTTGTATGTAATAATTTAGATCTAGCAAGAAGAAATCAGTGTTTAATGCATAGTGTGGCCTCTCTTTTCAAGTCTGATGTCAGAAAGGAGATGTATTACAGTGAAGTGAGAATTGCAGAGGGTCTGCTCCAGGATCAGTATTAAGGCCACAGTAAAGACCTGTTGGATGTTTCTCCAAATCTTTCCCTTAAAGGTGAATTTCACCTTATAATAACAGCTGTTGAATATGAAACATCTTTAAGATGTGTATGTATCTGTTGGAGAGACAGTAGGTAAGTACTCATTTTAAACACCTTGTGAACCTCTTTGGCACAAGAAAAGGAGGTCTTTCTTGGGTGTTGGAGAGATGAGCAGCGTCTGAATGGCTACAAGTCCAGGGAGATTGAGATGAGCTCTTAGGCAGAAGCTCTTCCCTGTGAGGGTGCTGAGGCGCTGGCGCAGGGTGCCCAGAGAAGCCGTGGCTGCCCCATCCCTGGCTGTGTTCAAGGTTGGACAGGGCTTGAACCTGCTGTAGTGCAAGGTGTCCCTGCCTGTGGCAGGGGGCTAGAGCTGGATGAGCTTTAAGGTCCCTTCAACGCAAACCAGTCTGGGATTCCATGATTCTAAGTCACTAATTGTCAAATGCACTAGTTATCTCATTGTTCTCCTTATTAAGGGAAAGCTGTTACCAGAAAAAAAAAGAATGAATGTATGGTTATGCCTCTCCTCCTTCCTATTTATGCATACGCCTCACTGTTTTGTGTTTAATGACTATCAGATTCAAAAGAAATCCATTGCATAGGAGAGCAAAACTGTGTCCAAACCCAGGAGCTTTTACATTGTAGTAGAAAATGAAAGACAGAGTAAGTGACAGATACTGTTAAGGGGGGAAATTGTGGCAGTTACAAACACTCCACATTATATGGTATCTTCAACTTCAGCTGCAGTGAAACAGAGATCATTCCTACTCTTCAGATGTGACCTCTGTATTGCTGGAGCCTCAACAGATAAAACACTTGAAGCACTGGAAGGTGACCATATAGATTGTGTGGAGCACAATACCATGAATAGTTACAGCCTCACTAGTTTCACTAGAAACCAGGCAGTTTACCCATTTACCGACACCACATGTGAGCCTAGGAAGTTTTATCAAATCCATGGGAAAGGACTTTTGGGGTAATACATTCCTGTTTCCTCCCAGAAACCTGCAACTGCTCAAAATATCAGTGCACTGAAATGTAGAAACATGACTTGCCACGCAGAATAATGGCAACTGGCATATGATTTATCGTACCCCATCAGAGGACAAGCTAGAATATTATACTGTCGGTGTAGCATGTCAGAGCCTCTGGAAATAATTTGCAGCATCTCTTTGTAGTTGTTTACAAGATGGAGTTGGGGGCCAGGCACTTTTTATTGAAGGAAAACAGGTTTCATTGCTCAGTCAGGACAGTGTTTTCATGATAATGCTCTGTGCTAATAAGCTGTACTTAGGCAGTTAATAGGATAAAAAGCTTCTGAGCAGAACATGTAACTATCTGTCACAATTATCCTAAATTCCAGTAACTATTACTATAATCCCAAGATTCTCACAAATATAAATGTCCTGTGAACTGACGAGGGGTCAAATTATGAAAGAGTAAATATAGTGAACTTAGTGTGTTTCATTACAAGGGAATCTGTCCTGCTTTGTGAGTGAGTTTTGGTTCTTCTCCTCTTCCTAAAAGATCGTACAGCAGTCAAGGTTCATACTAACACTTTTTTAAAATGCTTTAAATACTCAATATCTCATTTTCATCTTCTTTTTTTCTTCCTTGTGAACCCCTTAGGAAATAGAACGGAGCAGAATGGTTCAGCAAGCAGATTACCCAGAAGAGGGCAGCCTCAAACAGAGAAGGATGTGTAAGTGTGCAATACTGTGAATTTTACTTATGAAAGAGTAATATTTCATACAGAATTAAATTAATAGCAATTATTTTAAATACTTTTAATTCCACAGGATTGGCTATTGGAAGGCACTGAATGGCAGCCTTGCAGTTACAGGCACAGGGTTTGCAATACAACTGTCCAGCCAGTTCTGCCTTTCACTGAAGTGTGGGGCATATGACACTGCCAATTACAGGAGCCACACTCACAGTACTATGCAATGAGGTGTCCTAAGTCAGCTACTGAAAGGAAGATACGTTTTGCCTTTTCAGACTTCTGGAAGTGTACATTCCTTCACCTTATTTTTGGAAGCATTAACTGTCAAAGTTAAAGGACCAGGAATGCAGGACACTTTGATTAAAAACTAGCCACAAATACTCATGGTGAAACTTCATGTTTGCTTTGCAGAATCTTTTAAAATTCTTGTCTTTTCTTCCACAATCTTATTTTAAGCTATAAGTTTCTTGACATTAATGGGTTTTGGACAGTCCACAGTTAGTAAAGCACTTAAAAAAGTGTTTCAGGTGAAGTGTCCAGTAAACTGTTTTCCTAAACGTGCTAGATATGAGGAGGGAGAAGCAATAAACTGTGTTATTAGAAGTAAGAGTATTGTTAGCATTGCTTGATCTTTTCTGTTATGCAAAACATATGTAATTGTTTTTAACATTTCCAAATCTCAGCTGAAAACTGAACTTTTCTGCACCACCAGGGAAGTGTCAGGCTAAATGTTTTATGCATTTCAACCAAAACAAACACATCCATCCATAAGAGCTAGATGAAGGAAATATTTGTTTTGTGTTGGGGGAGAAGTGGAAAACTGACTCTCTGTAAGTTGATTTGTATCAGGGATGTCTTTCATCTTTGCCATTCAGAAATCCTGCAAGTTACGAAGTTTCTTAATACACAAGTTGTAAATGCTCAGTAAAGCTGCTTTGAGTTTAAGCTTTAGACCAGCTAAAAATCTGCAAGTTTCTTCCCTCAGTGAGCACAATCATACTTCTTGCTGCTAATACAGCATTATCCCAGATAGTCCCCCATCCATTTCCATCCTTTTTACTCAACTGGAATTGCATTCACCAGACCTTTGTGATCTTTTCTTAGGAAAATTGGTTTAAAAATTCTTCATTCTCATTCTCCAATAATCTACATTTTTGTTCTTGAGATCTTCTTATCCTGTTGTGTTGTCCTGCTTTTTTATTTGATGCTTCAACTTGTCCTCTGGTGGCATCTTGACATATATCTTTGACATCTATCCCAGGCAGTCTAGTTCCCAGCTCAGCATTGACATGGCTATACCACATCTCCTCTCTCCTACATTATAAGTTATTTCTTTTATCATTCTGTGTAACGTGATTGTCCTGGATGGCATGTTAGATAGTAAAAACTAAAATCTTACAGTTATAACAGTGGAAAGCTGTAAACTGATTAACTGGGGGGTTTTGTGATTCAGTAAATCCCTTGGTCAACATATCCAGACTCAGTGATAGTAACCTTGAATTGCAGAACAATTTGAGTAATCATAGTCTTCATTGACATGTAAATGTGTGCATTCAGTAATTCAGTATGGTTTTAGAAACTGCAAGAGTTACAGAAGGATATGTCAGTAAAACACATTTACAAACACAGTAATATTTATGTGAACTTCCATACACTTTAAGTGTACAGGTGGAAAATATACTGTACAATGCACTGACATTAGCATCTTCTTTTGTGCATAGCATTCTGTTTCCATGTTGAGATGCAGCAGTGAGAAGTTTTTCTCATACTATACTCATATATATATCATACTGTAGTTCTATTTCTAAATTTGAGGTTTCTTACAAGGGTGATTCTCTCTTCTGTAGGAGAAAGCAGTAAATAATAGATTATTTCTCTGTTATCTCCATTTGCTTTACATATTTAAATGGTTGAAAGAGAAAATAAGCCTGAACATTCATTGTAGGAATGACTTCAATACGTATTCAGTGCAAATCCTTAATCGTATGTTAAAGTCTGCCATGTAGATCTAATCTGATTGTATATCACTTTAATTTTTATTGCAAAGCCCATTAAACTCTGAAAGCTGACCATCTTTATACTGGTAGTAAAATATTTGTAGCTTAGAAGCGGAGGCAGTAGGAAAAAGCTGAACAAATTACATCATGCAGTGTTAGAGTCGTAGAATCAACTAGGTTGGAAAAGACCTTTAAGACCGTCAAGTCCAACCATTACCCCAGGAAATGGGGAATGTTGTCTCTGTTGGGCTCAGTTTTAACTTCCTGTGTTTCCTACAGCTACAAGCAGTGTTGTATGGCATTAACCATGGCTTTGGGGAGCACATCCTATTCACTGAATTCCTGTTCTTAGGAACAAATGAGTTCAATTCCTTCTTTTACCATTGTCTTCTGGCACAATCCTCAGAAAATCCTCTAATACTGCTGAACCTGAGCTCCTGTCCTTAAAATTATATATATATTTGGCAGTCTGTGTATAAATCCTACCCAAAGGCAAGTTATATTTGGTGTTCTATGACACAGTCAGGTTGTACAGCCCATCTGTTCACAGCTTATCTATATCCATCCTCATTACAATGTGAAGAAACTCAAGGCAACATTGTAAACACTGATTTTCAGCAGCAAGTGGGGATGTGACTAGTGGAAATGGTTTGATTTTTACCTTTTGATGCAGGTTCATGGAGTTGCAGTGCAAAGTGAAAAGTTCCCTGGACAGAATCCTGAAAATAAGAGGAAATCTGACAAGCCTCCAGGTCTGCTTTACACTGATTTACTTCTTGAATCTACTTTTAATATAGGATTTGAAATAAAAATGAAAATCCTATGGGCAACATTTGAGTTTTAATGACTAAGGAATCAAACACAATACTTTAAAGCTGGGAAGTTTGACTTGGAAATCCAGAAAGTGCAAAAAAAAACCCACCCAGAATTTAGTAGATTATTTTTTTAAACTAGTAGTTTTCCAAGTGCACCATTTTTATCACTGCTCATTTTGTCCATGAATAAAAGCATATGAAGCAGTTATCAACTGTTATTTCTAACTTGAAGTCAGAAATATGACTTATTACTGCATAGATTTTTGTTCATGAAGATTAAATACCCCTTTGTGTTGAAGTGATTGTACTATTTAATTTACCACTAATGCATCATCATGGAGTACTCTATTTAATGCATGCTAAAATGCAAATCACTTTCCTGCTTTATTCACATTTTGTTTCCTGAATAAATTTAGGACACGGTTCGTTGCTGTATATTGTTACCTGTGAAATTATTCGGTGTATTCAAAGAACTGTATTGATTTATTTTGCTTGCATACATGGCCTGAGAGTGTTTTACTTACAAAAAAAAAAGCTTGGTTCTAATTTAAAATATTTGAATTTAAAAGTTTATTTGGAAAACTATTAAAAAAAAAAACCCTCTATTTCTCATGAAAACATAGTTGTATGTTCTTAGGTCTGCCACAGTGCTGAGGAGTGTGTTCAAGTATCTTAAATGCCTGTAGATTTCCATTTTACTGACATATTATAGCTTGTCCATGTGCCAAGATTGCTTTTCTGGGGATCAAGTGCTAATCTGTTTAGACAGCTGAAGACTTACAGATGAAGCGTAAATAACAGGAGATTTTTAAGCAACACTTTCCAAGGCACCTGAATGCCATTTTCAGAAGCAGGGTTTGTTCCTATGTCCTGAAAATTTAAGTCCCCTTAGCTCGCTGTGAGTTGGAGCCTCGAGCATCACTTAGAGCTTATGAAAACAATTCAAAAGTTCCTTCTTTCCGATGTTTTTAATAGACTGTAGACCTCTATAAAGAAACACTTTGGGATTGAGATGTAACAATGCCTTTGGTTCTTTCTTTCCAGGCTTTAGAGGGCAGTAGAGAGCTTGAAAATGTTGGTGTCTCAGTCTCATCTGGCAACTTGAGGGATGAAGTGCGGAAAACCCAAGAGCTAAGTAAGGAGGATGTTCAATAACGTTTATCCCCTTTATAACAGTTTATCTGTGATCTCTGCTAGAGTCATACCCCACTCTGTGTTATAATGGAGTGTTATACCCCAAGCCTCTGCCCTTAGTCTTTTAGTTGGGACAAAAGCACCTCCTTGTGCATACAACCAGGGATGTAAAAGAAAGGCTACCCCAGCATTCCACTTTTCTACCTCCCAGTCACAGGTGGGGAGGGAAAACTTGCAAGAGCAACACCTTTTCTAATGTAAATAGTTAGATACTTAGTGGGTAGTTAGCTCGTGATTAGGCTAAACGTTTGCACTTTGATTGCATTGCCTTTCTGCTCCTTCTGCAAGGAAGTTGTTTTGTTTGTTTTCCTGTTAGGAGGATTATGCTGAATATAGGTTTCCAGGCTTTAAAAATTGTTATTCATGTGTCTTTAAATGATGGACATACCAGATGCTTATTGTGTTGGGATGAAGGCACTTTACAGATGGCACATCTGTTACTTTTCCAAAGAAACCCAGAGAAAGCAAAGATTTTCATTTATATGTGTCCACGTTTAGGAAACTATCCTTACTCCAAGTCAGAGATTCTTGGAACATGTAATCCTCAGCAGCAAAAAGTGCATTCATGCTTCTCTTCCCAGCTGCCTCTGCAGCTACATGGGAAATATGTGATAGGGAAGTACTCCGATGGCAAAACATTGCACTGTGGATAGTTGCAGGAAAAATAGGTATTGGCCTTCAGGGAGAAAAATTAAAGATCTCCCTTACCAGGTAATTCCTTTAAAAGTGGTGAAATGTAGCTGTAGACACCCAAGGAGCTCCAGTATTTATCATAGAATCCTAGAATGGTTTAAGTTGGAAAGGACCTTAAAGCTCATTCAGTTCCACCCCCTGCCATGGGCAGGGACCCCTTCCACTAGAGCAGCTTGCTCCAAGCCCCTGTGTCCAGCCTGGCCTTGAGCACTGCCAGGGATGGGGCAGCCACAGCTTCTCTGGGCAATTTATGCCTCAGCACAGGTTGTTCATTTGTTTTCACAATAGCAGCACCTTTATCTGTTCCCAATACATGTTTGTGGGACAGGTGTGTCTCTAAAACTGCATTCACCTACCACTACTTCTCAAAAGTCTGTGTATGTAATACTGTTCTTGTAGACTTTTCATACCCACCTCTGATTATCTAGTTTCCAGGTGAACAGGGAGTATGAATAACATAACCATACATGTATTCCCTGTGTCCAGGCTTTGGATAAGCATGCAGAGATGATGAAACAGCTTCCTAACCTGCAGCAAACAGGATGTTTTGTTGGTTTACATTATTCTACAACCTCTCTGGTTGCTTTGTTGCCTGCAGAGTGTAAAAACACTGAACTAGCTATAGGAAATCAAAACCTGGAGTGACTGCGACTGTTACTTTGTTTGCAGCTGGAAAGAGGTGGACAATAAAGGCCCCAGTGCTAGAGAATTTCTCTTAGCAAAGAGCCCTGTAACCCTTCCAATTCATTAGCTGAATGGACCCCAACAGTGGAATTTATGCACCACACAATTCCAGCAACTACTGTTGTTTAAATTACCATTTCTTTCCTGACTCCTATTCCCATGCTCATTCCGTTTGCATTTTGCATGTCTATACACTGTACTGTTGCCACTGTAATGCGCTTATCCAGATGCTTTCTTATACAAAATGAAGTTTTCTGAATATAGTCTGTGTTTACATTACTACCCTACACCAGGGATAGGGCAGTGACTTCCCAAATGAGCTGCCAGGCCTGTTGTTGACACTTGCTGTTAGCTTCTTATTGCCTTCCAAATGGGAAAGAATCATCCTTTCCTCCCACCTCTGAATTAGGAACAATGCACCGTGTCAGTGCTAGAAGACAGAAATGGGAACAAACAAAGCACAACTCCTCAAAATGATGTTGATTTTGAAATGGTTTTGTTAATTTTTTGATTACAATTACACTGGGGTGTTTTTTTTTAATCATCACCTGAAGGAAAATCCAAATCAGAATCCCGGAATTGCTTGTGTTGGAAGGGTGCTTAAAGCTCATCCAGTTCTAACCCCTGCCAAGAGCAGGGACACCTTCCGCTGGAGCAGCTTGCTCCAAGCCCCTGTGTCCAACCTGGCCCTGAACACTGCCAGGGATGGGGCAGCCACAGCTTCTCTGGGCACCCTGTGCCAGCGCCTCAGCACCCTCACAGGGAAGAGCTTCTGCCTAAGAGCTCATCTCAGTCTCCCCTCTGGCAGGTTAAAGCCATTCCCCTTGGCCTGTCCCTACAGGCCCTTGTCCAAAGCTGCTCTCCAGATTTCTTGTGCGCTTTGAAAATGTGAAAAAGGCAGCATAGATATTTTCTTTGAAATCTCTGTGGCAACGTTTACTGATTGCAGATTTCTTTCTTCACTAGTGAGTCAAGCAGAAGAACTGCAGCTGCTGAAAAGAGACCATGGAAAACTTCTCGCCCAAAGTAAGAAACTGAATAACTCCTATGTAACAGGTTTTGGTGATTCCTGTTAGGTGATTAGTTCTTTCCACTTGCAGTTGGGTAACCTTTCATATGTGAAAATGATGATCATCAAATGTGTTTCCTCTGAAAACTTTGGAATTACTCAAATGTAAATTTCCTCTTTTCTGCTATTTTCTTTGGATTGGGTACTTCTCTATGAAACTGTGCAAGGAGAAGAAATCATTAATGGTGTTATACTTGAGGCATGGTCTAGAAATATGTGCAGTCAGGTCCTAGAGAGCTTACATATCTTTCATATATAACAGTTATCCTTGTTATTCCTCATTCTCCTCCCTCCCCTTGCATTTTTAGTGTACAAACCAGGTAGCAAACAGCCTTTGCAGCAGAAACTTTTTCACCTTATATGTATTGTGAGGTATTTAGCACGCTTCAGGGGACTGTGAAATCCTAGCTGTTTGGTTTCTTCATAACTAGTGCTGTGAAAACATTTGAAGTTGGTGGCATGTCATAGAGTATGGCTCATGTAGTCACTATAGTGCCTTGTCTAGCAGGAAATGTGGCGGGGGGATTTATGTTTCCCAGTAAAATCAACAGTCACCACTGATACTCTGATATTTCTGTTATCTTCACGTGTCTTCACATAGAGCAAAACCAGAATTAAAATAATTGATGGCATCTCTGCTGCTCTATTTGTCAGCTGCCCCAAGCAACAGCACTGTTTTGCTGACGACACTAAGTTATGTGGTTCAGTTGATACACTGGAGGGAAGGGATGCCATCCAGAGGGACCTTGACACGCTTGTGAGGTGGGCTAATGCCAACCTCATGAAGTTTAACCATGCCAAGTGCAAGGTCCTACACCTGGGTCGGAGCAATCCCAGGCACAGCTACAGGTTGGGCAGAGAAGAGATTCAGAGCAGCCCTGCGGGGAAGACTTTGGGGGTACTGGTTGCTGAGAAACTGAACATGAGCTGGCTTCAGTGTGCGCTTGCAGCCCAGAAACCAACCGTATCCTGGGCTGCATCCAAAGGAGCGTGACCAGCAGGTTGAAGGAGGTGATCCTGCCCCTTTACTCTGCTCTCGTGAGACCTTACCTGGAGCATTGTGTGCAGTTCTGGTGTCCTCAACATAAAAAGGACATGGAACTGTTGGAACAAGTCCAGAGGAGGCCATGAGGATGCTCAGGGGCTGGAGCACCTCCTGTATGGAGACAGGCTGAGGAAGTTGGGGCTGTTCAGCCTGGAGAAGAGAAGGCTGTGTGGAGACCTCATAGCAGCCTTCCAGTATCTGAAGGGGGCCTATAGGGATGCTGGGGAGGGACTCTTCATTAGGGACTGTAGTGACAGGACAAGGGATAATGGGTTCAAAGTTAAACAGGGGAAGTTCAGATTGGATATAAGGAGGAAATTCTTTACTGTGAGGGTGGTGAGGCACTGGAATGGGTTGCCCAGGGAAGTTGTGAATGCTCCATCCCTGCCAGTGTTCAAGGCCAGGCTGGACAGAGCCTTGGGTGGCATGGTTTAGTGTGAGGTGTCCCTGCCCATGGCAGGGAGATTGGAACTGCGTGATCTTCAGGTCCTTTCCAACCCTAACTATTCTATGATTCTTTGATTCTATGTCACAGGCAGCCCCTTCGATTTTGGTTGTATCTGCTCTTCCATGTGCCTACATTCATTCTGCTCTGGAGAATTCTCTTAAGGGAAAGAAAACTGATCAAAATGAAGTATCCTCAGCTCCAGATTACCAGGAAGTTATAATGGTGGATGCTGTGAGCCAATGCAGATGTGAACAGTCATTGCTTGCTTTGTGCAGTGCTTTTGAATGGCCACCAGGGTATACATTTATAGTTCTATCTTTGCTCCCAGTGCTAAACACGCTTCCAGCCTTGTTAGATGAGAAATGAGATATTTTGTGAAACTGAGCTGGAAAATAGAATTACGAGTTTAAGTTGACCAATTTTGATGAAGTTTCTATGTCAATTTTGCTTTAGTAAAGCATAAATTTGCTTTTGCAGTCTTGCAAATGCAATAGTAGTTGAGGCAAAGAAGCGTGTAGTACAAGAAGAGCACTTGGAGATGTTTTACTTTGCCTTTTAGTTTTGGATGTGGTTTTCCATAATTATTTTTAATTAGTTATGCCCAAGACTTAAAACTTATGACTGTTCAGTGGCTTGATACAGATGGAATGTCACATTATCATCACATGGTGAGGCACGAAATTTATTTACTTTACATAAAACAACCTCTACTTAAAACAACTTAATACAAAACATTCCTTGCTCAATGGGCACCATTATATAGAACTCAATATATCATTTTGTGTGGCCAGCATAACAAATGGCATCTTTGTCTGTCCATGACTAGCATTTACAGTAAACAAAATGTTTTTGAATAGAATGTAAGCAAACTGCAAAGCGACTGCCAAGAGATGAAATCTGGTTGGTATGTTACAGTCCAAACCATGCTTTGTGCCTCTTGAGAAGAAATGTGTAGGTTGTGATATGCATATTTTAAAGGAAAATTTAATGGGTTCAGAATCTCAAGGAGTCAAAATAACATTCTAAACAGGAAAGCTGGTTCTTAAAAATCATACTAATGCTTTGCTTACCAGAAACACTGACATTAATCATGTCCATGCCTCTGTCTGCTGTCCAAGTAAAGAACAACAAGAGAGTGTTACAGGAGATCAAATAGTTGCAGTGTCAAGGAAAACTACTTTCAGGCTATGTCTTGTAATGAAATAGTAAATACTTTCTTTTCATGTTGTTCATCCTGCCAAGCCCAGGGCCAGATACGATCACCCCTATTAAGGTTAGTTCTAAACATTTCTAACTTTCATATTGTTTTTAATATGAGTGACTGAAGCTTGCACTCTTTGCAGCAATAGTGGTGGCTTTCCAAGACACTAGATCAGGGTTAACTTGATGTTTTTCTATTGAATGCCACTTGAAATTCTTAATGAAAGCCAAACTGGAGAGATCAGGGACTAAGTAATACTGAGTTCCCACTCACCAGTCCAAACTGTGTATATATGGCAAAACATTAACTCCCATTTCAGAAACACTGTAAAATATGGACTTCTCCTTAATAAGCAGAGTTCCTTCTCAAAACAGATAAAATAGTAAGACTTTTATTGCAATATCCCACTATTTATTCCTATTCTTGTCAGTTTGAGTTTGGACTTTGCACTGGATGCTTGTGTACAAGCAACTGAATAGCTTGGGCCTGGACTGCTGGTGGCTTGCTGTGAGTGAGGGTGAATCAAGTTTACAACATATTTCTACATCAATCTCATACCAAGTAGAATAGATTTGCTGACCTTTACATATACTCAGGGGTCTGTCTCCCACCCATCTTTCCTTATCCTCCTTTGGGATCTTCTGTGGAAAAGGGAAATACATTAGACCTCAGATGTACATTTTCAGGAGCATATCTGTGGAGTTTTCTGGCTGTTTTTCAGCCCAACTTTGTATTTCCTTGCAGGGAAGGAATGTCATTGTGCCCTTTCTGGTCTTGTGAACTGGCTAAGCAGAAATATATTAAGTGAACTGAATGAATTCACAGGTAAATTTATTCAGAAACTGAGTTTCTTTCCAGAGTTTCCATTCCTTGAGAGCAAATAGAACAAGTATCAGGACTGTCTTTGCTTATGGCAAATACTCACTTTTTAGGGAAGTGATGAGGTGGATACTGAAGTCAGACCTAGGGTTTGGGAAAGGCCTCTTTACCAAACAGATCTGTAGGCCCCTTTCTTAAGAACCAGTACCTGAGCTGACTACAGATGAACCTCATGCTCTTGTTTATGCAAGCCCCACTTCCAGGCATTTGTGATAGAGGTTCATCTGAGGTTCAGTTCTTCCACGTTTTTAATCTGTTTGGGAAAAGCTGCTAATGCTGACACAACAGTTCCTTCCTTCTACCAAGGTCCTTTCAGTTAAATCCTAGGCTTCTTTCCAGCAAAATTTGACAAGGTCTCTCTAGCAGCTTTCTTTGTGGTGTACATCATCTCTAAAAGCAACAAAGATGATGCTGAAGGACTTCTTTTTTCCCAAATACATTATTATTAGATGGAGATTTAGAGTTTGTGTTTTCAAATTATAGGTTTACTTCAATTCTTAATGCTAAAGGTCAGGCTTGATGTTTTGTCCCACATCAGAAACATCTGCTCGGAGTTAATGTCCCTACACCGTGTTTGGAAGAGAGATGGGGTCATCAGTACTCTTTTGCTTGAGTCCTGCATCCCACCAAGATATGAGCTGCCCCCTTGGCCTCACCAGAGAGGCTGTTGAAGTGAGGCAGAAATTGCCTTATGCCATCAGTAAGACTGCTTCAAGAAATCATAACTTGGTTTATGTGATGCTGGGGGGAATCTGGCCTAGTTCTGGCTCTCTTGGGTGGAAGATGTGTCTGTATTTCTGCTCATAAGGCTTTTCTGCCATTAGACATGGGAAAAAAATTAATGACAGTTACATTTTTAAGTTATACCTCAGTGTGAACACTTGTAAATGGGACTGCATTCAGCAAAACTGAATTAAGAGTCTGCCGAGTGTGTGTGTGCGCACATGGACATGGTGCACCTTTGAATGTCCCCGTGCAGAGACCCAGGGAAACCGCTCTGCCCTCCTGCATTTGCAAGCAAAACTAACTGTGAGATTGCCCCGAGAGCACCCAGAGGAGGAGTGTGTTCTGGTGTCATGTTCTAATTCATATTGTGTGGGCTAAAAGCTGTCGTTGCTCAGGCTAAATCTGACTGTACATCTCTCATTCTGTGCAAGCAGGTCTAGTTTGTAACCATGCAAAGTCCTTTACAGTCTAGAAGAGGTAACAAAAGCACGTTCTGGTGCCCAGAATTTGCAATGCTGGTGGTTTTCCTAGGACAAGTGAGTAACCTCGTTTACCAAGAGGTGAAGGAGCTGGTGGACAGGTTTCTGTGTGACCTCAAACAAACAGATGTGGGTCTGTCAGATCGTACCCACAGCTTGTATTTTAAAATACAACCTGAGATTGGAGAAGTACCTGGCCCTGAGGTCATTGGCATGATGAGCTCTTTGGATGGAGGGAAGGGGGCAAATTACAAACCTCTCCAATGATTTAACATCCTCTGCTATGTAGATGAAATATTAAGCTATTAACTTCTGTGGCAGATACAGAAATGCACATGAGAGATACGACTATAGGCCTCAGACATATGTACATAGAGAACTGTCAACCTGCATTTTGTATTTGGGTGTCAGCCCCATTTATTCATGAATTCCACACTTGTGTTTATTCTCTCTTTTCCTACGTACCTTTTTATGGACACAATAACTGTTAATTTTTAATTCTAGTGGATTTAGAGTGTTAGTATTAAGCGTAATGAAAAATTAAAAGGGACTGTAGTTCTTTCAACAGCTCCATGTAGCAGCTCCTCCATGAGAATAAATACTGCTTTCTCCCATGAATATAATTATTTAAAATAGAAAAGAAACATTAGTTTGGGCTCACTTAGTAGCAATTATATGTTTAAGAGGTGTAAATAACTCGCTACCCAGACATTACAAATATCCAGGTGCTCCGTATGTGCTGATGACAACAAAATGGAAAAGAAAGACTGTAATAATTCTGACTGGTTTTCTCTGCAGAAGATATTGATTATTTGTGTGTGGTGAGAGATTTGGAAAATTCAATTAAAGGAGTTGTGCAAAGGTTTCATAAATTCCCCTCGTACAGCGTGTACACAGACATTGGTGCGTATTAAATCAATGCAGCACTTCACAATATATTTTCTTTGAAACATAAAAATAAATAACATTTAAACAGTTCTGCTTACTACAGAAACAAATTTTATTTGCTGTGAAGCATTTAGTCATGTGCTCCCCCTGACTCATACACATTTGCCAGCTGTAACAAATTTTATAGACGTTTTCTCCCGAGACATAGCTCATATACTATGAATTTTTAAATGAGCAAATGGTGAAGAAGGGATGTCAGCAATATAAAAATTGATCAGTTAAAAGATAAAAGCATAAGTAAAGAGATTTGTATGGTAGTCTTAATAGGTTTTATTAAATAAAAATACTATAAAACGACAGTAATGAATAGACTGAAGGTTTTAAGTGTGGTTGAGGTGGAGAAAAATTATTCTGGCACATTTAGGAGAAGATTGGTTTTATATCACCTGACAGGTGGACATTTTTTTCCTCTCTGCTTTTCAGATCTGTAAATGTTTCAGAGCAGTCAAACTTGGGGAAGAACGGTGCTGGGAATAGCAGGGGAAAGAAACTTGGGAAGATTTTGCCCTTCTAAGGCCAGGTTGGACAGAGCCTTGGGTGACCTGGTTTAGTGTGAGGTGTCCCTGCCCGTGGCAGGGGGGTTGGAACTGGATGATCTTAAGGTCCTTTCCAACCCAAACTATTCTGTGATTCTATGATTCTAATGCTTTTGTGGGCCAGGGACAGGAGACACCATGCCAAGGGGCAGGGCTGAGGTTCCTGCCTTGCCATTCGCACCCCCAAAGTGCTTGAGCTGATGAAGGAGCATGAACTGGGCCAGCATCCACTTAGTGCTTGAGCCAATGTCCTTCTGGTCACCTCTACAGACCCTGCCCTTCCTAAATGCCCTGGGCACAAGAGGGTTTCATACTAAAGTTTTGATAATGTTCTCTTTGGGTTTTTCTGGTGTTGGAACGGGATGATCTTAAGGCCCTTTCCAACACAAACCATTCTAATATTCTATGTAGTTTAACTTCCTTAGGAGTTCTACATAGAATCATAGAATCAACTAGGTTGGAAAAGACCTTGAAGATTAAGTCCAACCATTCCCCAGCACTGCCAAGGCCACCACTAAACTATGTCACCTATATAAAATACTAAGAGAGATAAGGGTTGTTGCTAGGGGATGTCTGTTCTGTTGGGGTTAAGAGCAACTCACTAGGTTCACACACCCCCCAGAAATATATATATAAAACCCTGAAACTGCTACAACAAGCACTGTAAGTTATTGGAGCACATGAGTAATAAATCATAATATCTATCTGATTCCTTGAATAGCTAAATCTCAATGACATCTGTATAAATATTATATAACTAAGGCTTTGGTCACAAGGTGTTGTCATGGTATATGTGTGGAAAGAGGGACAAGTTAATGGTGTTTGATACGAATCTGGGCAGCTTACATTTTTTAAGAGGGTTTCTTGGAGTGAGATGCAGATCTTGGCATGGGCACGGGTTCTGTAAGTACAGCATAGCCTGAATGGTGCAATCAGTGCAAATCAGGTTTGGAAAGATTCAATTAGGGACTTGCATTCAGGATTTGTACCATCTTGTAATTAAATCTTTTTGTGTTACTGGACAGTTTCCTATTGTAAGCAGTAGTGGTATCTGTGTAAACAAACGGTGTTTATTAGGTGTGATGCTGAGGAGCTGTGCTTGAGGCTAAGTTGAATGGGATGCCTTTATCTGGAGTAACTTCAGACTCAGGATAGGACAGGATTTCTGGCTTGGTCAGCTCCAGCTCATGTCAGATCCACAGGCAGGTCTGTGCCACATGCTGTATGTGACACCTAAGGAGTCACTGCCTGCTAGATGAGGAGAGCCTTCCCACTGACCCTATGGCTTTGATGCTTCTCTCCATCTAAGTTTACATGCGGCCCCTTTCCTCACAGTAGTCATCTTAGCTATAAACCACTGTAAATATCCGTTTGTTGGTCTTGGTATGTTTAATATAAAACCAGTAATTCTGAATTCTCTCTTCACCCTTTGGTGCTGGTGGAATCCAAGTGCAGCATGACCCATCAGCAGGCACTCAGGGTACAGGGACCAGAGCTGATCCTCTGCTGCAGTAATCTGGGGGGGGGAAATCTTGGCTCTCAGGCACACCTGCTCCCAGAGCCTTTCCCTGTGTTCTCATTCCCTGAATTCCTTTCTGCCCTTGCACACTTTTCCTCTACTTCTTCCAGCCATCTGCTCAGCCCTTCACCCTGGCCCTGCCCTCATTGAGCACAGGACTCAGGTGCTGTTCCCTCTTGTTTTGCTGTCCTCTCTCAGGACACAGGAGATGGTTGTTCCTCACATAGTACTTGACTGAATCTGCTCATATCCTTACAGACTTACTCTTTTATTATTAATAGCAAAAAAGAAGGAGCAGCTCCTAATACTCGTAACATGTTCTGTACTGCTTTGTCATCATTGGTGGTAATGTAGTCTGTTAAGACAACCTCCTAAATTACTGCCGAGACACCGTAACTGTATGAAGTAAAAGGGGTTCTGTTGAACACTGCAGTAACTTTGTTAACGTCTATTTGTGGGGGGATTTTCACAACTTGTATAATAACACCATTATTATGTTTAGTTTTTATATTTTTGTTCTGTTTCCAAGGAATGTTTTGCAAGGGCCTGTAGTGATAGGACAAGGGGGGATGGTGTTAAACTGATGGAGGATAGATTTAGATCAGACTTCAGGAAGAAGAGGGTGTTGAGGCACTGGCACAGGGTGCCCAGAGAAGCTGTGGCTGCCCCATCCCTGGCAGTGTTCAAGGCCAGGTTGGACACAGGGGCTTGGAGCAAGCTGCTCTAGTGGAAGGTGTCCCTGCCCGTGGCAGGGGTTGGAACTGGAGGAGCTTTAAGGTCCCTTCTGACCCAAACCATTCCATGATTTACCAAAACTGATTTTCCTTCTCCATAGGATGCGTTCAGACCACCAGTAGCTCCGCGTTCCTGAAGTCTCTCCTTGACTGAGGTGAGTAGTTCCTCAATCCACTCTGTGCCTTCTCCAGCCACCATGTACAGGTCAGGTTATCGCAAGGGCTGAGGTATTTCATTTTACAACACTTGCAGGGTGCCCCAGTGTATAGGCCTGCAGTGAGGACTGGAATAGCTTGGGGGGAAAACAGTTGTTATTCTGCATGTGGTATTTCCTGTTTCCGGTTTGTTAAGCAAAATGAGGTACTCAATCTGTAGAAACTCTGTCCTATGCTAAACCATCCAGTATCATTTCACCTTGTCAAGACTGTCAGTTTCTAACGGCATGGCTCTTTTCAAGAATGGCAATTCAGCTGTAACACATGTAACAAAAGCAAGAAAATTTGTGTACTTGAGATTATCCCTTCTTAAATGCCATGGTGATGACCTGGTTGCCACTTCCAGCCCCCCACTTCCTCAGGAGCATTTCCTACCCCTATTCCATCCATCTCTGCTCATGCAGCTCAGGCATGTTGGGGTCACTGCTGTCCAATCTGTTTCATAAAGTCTCACCGGACAAAGAAGTCTTGAGAGATGAGAATATAATAGTCATAGAATGGTCTGGGTTGGAAGGGATGTTAAAGATTATCTGCAGATTATATCAATTGCCCATGTGGTGTGAGAACATCTTTCCTCTGGAAAGTTAATGTATTCCAATTCCTGTAATTGAGGAATATGAGACAGTGCATCTACAAGCTATGTAACTGAGTGAGTGCAGGGCTGAGCTCAGATACATGCATTTTGCTTCTCAATGAAGGCTTTAGCCCTTTTATCTTAGAATCACAAGTAACCTAGTAGCAAAAAAGCTTTAAACCCCTGCTTGTCCCCAAGCTAATGCCACCCTTACACTTCCCAGCTGCTTATGCCAGAGATGCTTTCTCCTCTTTACTCCTTCCAAACCAGCTCCCACACCAGAATAACGGAGGGGTGGGAAGCCCTGCAGGCAAGCGGCACTAGTGGCCTGTTTAGCAGCTCATTTTCCATTCAGCAGAATTTCAGAGTCCCAGAGACCACAGAGTGACCTTTCTATGGTACAATAATCACTTTAAGCCTTACCCTGGCTTATTAGCCTGAAGTAAACCCATGCTGACAACTACGAGGTTTCAAGTCGAAGTTAGATCAGAAAGCACTCATCCCCACTATAAGTTTATGTCCAAGACTAGTGTTTAGTCAGTGAAGATTCTGGACCCTATGGTCAAAAAAGAGACACATTTACTCTTCCTGGTTCTCTCTACCCCTTTTGTAAGTGGAACCATCACTATAAAGCCCTTTGTTTTCTTATTATTTACAAGAATTCAGTTGTGGCAGTTAAATGATCTTTCAGCAATTACTTCTCAACTTCTTCTACAGATAAACTGACAGCGGTTCCTTACAACATCTGAAATGTGGCTGCAGTGACCATCTGTTGCTCTGCTTTGCCTTAGGCTGTCTGTGCCTCTGTCTGTCCTTTCTTACGCAGTTCTGGCCGCAGGACAGCCATGTAATGCTGAGCAGATCACATGAATGATGCTGCTGCTGCCTAATTGCTATTTATTTTAGTCATTCCTCCTCTCCACACAGGCATTATGTGAAAAATGCATTCCACAGCAACCCAAAGTTCTACATCTGTGTGGCTGTACTTAAAAGGAGAGAAGAAATGAGTGTAAACCAATCTCCCCAGCAAATACCAGTTTGGGATTGCTCCCTGTGATGGGCAGGTGCACATCTAGATACAATTTCTGGCATCTATTTAAACTGAACAATGTGCACAACCAGATGATCCCAATGTAAATAATACATCCTGGTTGGTTTATGCAAGCAGGAGTGCAAAATGCTCATTTAGCTTGGCTGCTGCATGGAAAATGTATGTTCTTATGGCAAATAGAGATTTATGCTGCCTTGGTTTTACAGCAAATAAACCAATCCCCCACCTCTAACCCTCCCTACAAGAACCAGGCAAGAAGAAACTCTGGTCAGAGATGACCTTTGCATCCCAGGCCTTCTGTGGGAAATGACTGCTTCCTGCCCTGCTCCTGTCATCACGCCACCAGCCCCACAAAAGCCAGTTAACTGTGACTGAAATAAATGCATCCAGCTTTGCAACAGCCTGTCTGGAAATTTATGGCTTCTGCTAATGAGGATTTTTTGAAGAAAGCTCTAGTGTGCAAGAAATTATTCCAAGTGCTGAGCACACTGAAGTTGTTGGCAAACAACTTCAATTTCTATGGCTGCCACAGTTACAGATGTCATCCACGGTCCTGTCTCCTCTGACAGCGTAGAATGGTTTGTGTTGGAAGGGACCTTAACGCTCACCCAGTTCCAACCCCTGCCACAGGCAGGGACACCTTCCACTAGAGCAGCTTGCTCCAAGCCCCTGTGTCCAACCTGTCCTGGAACACTGCCAGGGATGGGGCAGCCACAGCTTCTTTGGGCACCCTGTGCCAGTGCCTCTCCCTCATAGTGGAGAACATCAACTCAAGACACACAATAGAAAGGTGTCACTTTCAAGCCCCCAGTGTTCAAACACGTGGCTCTAATACCATTCATTTTTTTTGTCAAGATTTTACCTTGGTTTTGGAATTCAATGAGGTATGGGAAGAGTTGTTACAAACCACTATCCTCAAAACCACCCCTCCAGCCTATTGCAGCCCCTGCACCTCAGATCACTGTGTTAGGTGCAGCCTGTCTCATATTGGAAGAGTAGGATGATTTTTCTTTATTTTATATTCCATTTTTTGCTATTCTTCCAGATAGTTCAATGTAAATATGAATAACCCTTTCTACTGCTGCAAAGAGCTGATTTTTACAACTAAAATACCAAGGACCAGAATGCTGTGTTATAGTGTGGTTGAACACTTCCACACTGGAGCTTTGGGCAGTTAATAAAAATCATAGAACACCAGGGTGGAAGGGACCTCAAGGATTGTCTGCTCCAGCCTTTAAAATGTTTACATAATACCTGTGCAATCCAAGTGGAAAAGCTGTTAGTAACTGTTGGAAGGGAATTGTGGCAGTTACTCCCTTCTGCTGTTACCTTCCTGCGCTGTTTGGTGGTGGTTGTACTCACAAGATGCCCCAGCTAATGGCTTTAGGGATAGTAGAAGGTGAGCCCAAACCAGCTCTAGCTTATATATATCTAGTTTATATAACCTGAGTGTAACCTTTGTAGCTAGGAATACTTTTGATCTAAAAAGCATCTGGAAACCAACCACACACTCATCTAAATCAATCCCTTCTGTCTAGTCTTGGAAGAACAAAAGACAACATGCATACAATAAAAGACCAATAAAGGTGATGGCTAATGAGTCAGTGGTGCCTCACACCATGGCAGTTACTAAATAACATGAAATTTGGTGTTTAATAATGTTTTAGGGAAGCAGAAAGCTCTATACTGAGATTCTACTGCAAATGCTCCTCATTACATGCCTGTGCTAGTTGAGCAGTTACTGTTCCTTTGACCCCTTTGCTGTACCAGGCTGCTGCCTTTCAGAAACAGCTGGGGCTGTTAAGAACCATTTCCAGTTCCACACAAGGTGGATCGTATGACTCGCACTTTATCACCCCTTGAAGCCATCTCAAGGACAAAGAAAAGAGATACACTCAAAACTAATGTTTTTATATGGGGGGAAGGATCTCACCATCACCTTGTGTTGAACACGAGACCAAGCCCATGAGAACCTGAAGCCCTTCTGCTTCCTTCCATCTTAATTTGCCGTTTCAGATGTTGCCTGGGTCGAAGGAGATGTCCTCCAGACCGCCTCAAGGGCTGGTGGTCCCTCACCCCATCACACGTGGAGGGAACACTGTGGGCTTTGGCTTTCACAGCCTCTGGAGACAAAGATCCCCATTTACACATCCTGATACACATCTCTGCCCCTCAGCCTACGCTCCTCCAAGGAAAGGCCACGCTGTGGGCAGAGCTCTTGTGTGCCACCACGAGGGTCACACCCTCACAGAAGCTCTACATACTTGTGGAAATACTTAAGTCACATTGCTTTATAGTGAACTGTTACAGTGTAGGCCCACCACTAACCTCTACTCACCCCCAACACCGTCACAACTACTACTCCAGAGCACCTTTTGTGTTCTCCCTGAGCTGCCATGGTTATAACCTTGTGGAAAATGTAACTGCAGCCAACAAGTAAAGCTGGAAAAGCAGAACAAACGCACTCAGCTTGTAGACATTTCAGTTACAGCATTCAGAGCTGACACAGGTGGAAGTTCCCAGAACAGCTGATTCACACACTCACCATAACACTGCCAATGTCAGCAGCAGTCTGGAATGTGACAGCACACAGAGAAGCCTTAAATGAGGATGGGTTTGCTTTTTGTATGTGAAGGAAAAGGACAGACTGGCTCCTAGTTAAACTATACTACCAGGAATGGGTTTATGATTTAGTTTCTGTGTGCTTTATATATATATATATATATATATATAAAATTATTCAATCCATTTTTATTCTCTCAATTATTTGCAGCAGAGGCTGGGCTGTGCAGAGGGAGAAATTGCAGAGTTTAGTTCCATTTACACCTGCAAATTATGCAATAGGTGGGGAGTTTACTGGGGGGTTTTATCCCTGAAGCACCCAGTACCTACTTTCAAAGCACAGTGTGGTATCCTCAGCTTTATTTCAGTAGAACCAAGAGCTTTTGGCCTTTCAGCCCTGTTAGAAACAGTTGAGTCAAGAGACTACAACTGTGTTAAAACCAAATCACAGCTGATGACTACAGTGAAGGAAGATGCATCCTCCAACCTGCTGCACACGCACGAGCCTTCCCCTTCCCAAACATCACAGCCTCTACCCCTGCACCCAGCATTAGCTTGTGTGTGTATCTGTGGCTTAGACAATTCTTCAGCATTCCAGAAGTGCTGGTACTGAGGAAAGGAACACGTAACACAAGAAAACCAAAAGCCTGTGGGTGAACCAAAGCTGCTAGTGAATTGCTGTGCTTACGGGCTACAGCACTTGGGTCTGTGCTGGGGCTGAGCTTTAGATCCCATCTGCTGGAGACCACATGTCCTCCCCTCCAGCACCAGATGAAGAACCAAGAGAAGAGCATACCCCCCACTTGGGTAGCAAAGAGTGATGTGGGACAGAAACTGATACAAGAAGAGTTTATGTCATAAAACAATTCAGTGAGACAACTTCAGAGCTACCAGTGAGGAGTTTCTACTCAATACTTAACCCACTTGCTCACACTTTTTATGCTGGGAAACCTGTAAACTCAATGGCATCAAGCTGCTTTGCCAATACAGGCGGGGGACTTCAGCCTTAACTCAAAATTTGGTCCTTTATTAGGGAGTTTAAGTTTACAAATGGTAACAAAAAGTATTACACTTCTGCAGACGACACCAAGTCACATTTCCAAATGCTCTTCACAATATTCCTTCCTTTAAAAGTCCTTGATTACTTTGTGTTTCAATACACATTATGTGTTTCCTGATTTTCATTAGGATACAGGAATTGTATTACAGCATGAGCAGGTTTACCTGCAATGCCAGACACTGCTCATGGAGAATACAGTTTAGTCCTTGATCTTCACAGGTTCATTAACTGATTTTCTTCTGACTTCTACTGTTCTTTGAGTCCCACAGAATAACAATGTTAAAATACACCAAAAATAGTATAAAATGTAAGCAAGAAATAATAGACACAGCTAAAGGGAATAAATCCGGTAACCTCTGTGGGGGATGCACCATGGCACTCATCACAGACAGGACAGCCATCAGGGTTATGGACATAAGGAACTGTAAGAGAAGGAATGATGCATTAGCTAATGATGATTCAAAACCTCAAACAAATAAGCTGTTACTTTACTACTTGGCTGCTCTGTATTCTTCACTCTATACTTGCAGAAAAACATTCCAGCACATCTTTACACAGGTGCAGTGTGGCTTTCCCTGTTTGGGGCTGTATCACAGAATCCCAAACTGGTTTGTGTTGGAAGGGACCTTAAAGCTCATCCAGTTCCAACCCCTGCCACAGGCAGGGACACCTTCCACTAGAGCAGCTTGTTCCAAGCCCCTGTGTCCAACCTGGCCTTGAACACTGCCAGGGATGGGGCAGCCACAGCTTCTCTGGGCACTCTGTGCCAGCGCCTCAGCACCCTCACAGGGAATAATGTGCAGTTACAGACATAAAACTGGTTCATTCAACTCCTTCAGTACCAGGAAGAGCTGCAGGGAAGAGCTGTGGGAATTAAAATGGCTCACCAGCATCCTGACAATCTTGGGAAAGGACTTAAACCAAGAAACGTATCCCTTCAGGGAAAGGGAGAACTGCTTCAGCTGCAGGTCCTCGGCTGAAGTCTTCTCAAATATGGAAAAGGAAGTGGTGCAGACTGACAGGAACGCCAGCATGGTCACAGTGTAGGCCAGCAGCAGGCCATCTTTCAGCAGCAGAGGCAGCATGCTGTTAAAACAGAATTACCCACAGAAGTGAGGGCACAATCCAAGTTATACTTTAAAGATCATAAAAAGAAAGGGGAAAAGGAGATGTTTATACTGGAACTGGGGAAAGAACAGCTATTTAAACACTATTATCAGCATCCAACTCACCTGAAGGTTGACACGAGTAAAAACCACGTGGCCATAAAAGGGATTTCATTTATGATTAAGCAGACTGGTCTAGAATGAAGAGAGGAGAAACAGATAAACTCTGAGTGACAGCACTTCCCCCTCTACCCAGATGCTGTGCTCCCAGTCCTCCAGGAGGTCAGGCAGAGCTCTATTCCACACTGGCACAGGCTTGGAAAACCCAGGAACAGGCCGCACCTGAAGAGCATCCTCTGCCAGAGCCTCTCAAAATCCTCCTTTATCAAACATTACTTTCAGATACACACAGGACATCCAAGCTCAACCTGCAGCCATGCTGGGCAGCTGAGTGACACCTCTGCTTAGCATGGACCCTCACCTCAACCAGCCCCAGGCAGGCAGCTATGGCCTGTACCTCTCCGTGCTCCAGGACACATGGCCCAGAGATGGGTGAAGCAGGAGAGAGCAGCATGGCTCTATTTGCATGCTTTCACTTATGAGTTATTCAGAAAAGCAAATGTGTGGAGTTTTTACAATCAGATGTATTTGTAAGTGAGGAAGCAGCATGCA